TCGTTAGAATTAAGTCAGCCCCTTGGATGAAGACTGCAGCTACCCAGGCCCTGAACCTTCTAGAGCTATGGGTCCAGAGTAACAGCTTTGGGTCAAGTAGGTGTCCACCAGACCTGCTGTCTGGAGCACAGCTTGAGGGCATCCTGTGCCAGCCTCCGAAGGCACAGTGGTCTCAGAGCTGCTGTCCACATAGTAGGTTCCTGTGCTGGGTCTTTGCTGGCAATGGTAGAGTGCACGCATGCTTTACCTTCCTGTCTGCTGTTCTAGGTACTTGTTAGGACCATCGTAAACTCCCTTCAGCCCAACCTTCTCCCCAAACCAAAAAACACTGGCTACGATTCTTAATTGATTGTTACTTTAAAAATCAGGTGACTGTTGTCGCCATGGGAGAAGTGCATTCAAAGACTTGTCTGTCAACAGTTAGGTAGGGGTGTGAGTCCACTCCCATGAAAGGGCAGGGCGAGCTAGGGAACAACGGGCAACTTAGAAGTTGCATTTGCTTTGGGTAGTTTATGTCTAACATGTCTGGCAGGACTGATGAATTGACAGAAATTTGGGGAACTGTTTCTGTAGGCTATGGAATTTTAAGAATGATTTAGAAGACTTTTAAAATGCTTCTAAAAGTCATCTGATTATTAAGAAGGATTATGAATATATGTTTAGTAGTGGACATGTTATTTGATCTGAACTGATCTGGTACTTCTTTTTAATATAAAATATAAATATAAAATATTCTAGGAAAACAAAACTTGAGTTAATGCCACACTGCTGGCTTCTTGTCTTTTGTTACAAACGTGCTGAGATGGTCTCAGTAATGAAGCTACTAAAGCACCGTATGCATTGTTTCTATGGGGTATCGATTCCTTTTGCAGTGTTCAACAGCGCCTGCATGCCTCCCAGCAGCAAATGTGTGTGTGCCAGGCTGTGTGAGATGAGGGTTCCAAAAACGAAATGTTGGTTTACTTTTCATAGCTGTGCGCAACTGAAGGGAAAGCCGTGGCTTTAGAGACGTGGCCTTAAGCACTAACAGTGCATGATGATCTGCTGTTATCTTAACAAAACCTAATCAGAGGCAGCAAAAGCTGGCATTCATAGAATTATTTTATTTATCCATAAGCCACTAGAAGGAATATCTTATTTCTTTTAATAAATCCTTCTAGACGGTCGTCTATGTTTTAATATATAAGTATATGGGGATGTGGTTTTTAACAAGGTTAACTCAAGTGTTGGGTATGGCCACGTGAAGCTCAAGTGGGAGAATGGAAGGTTTGCTAAGATGTAAGAACATCAGGCTGCCTCTGCCCCAGCTCTCCACCTGCCTCAGGCAGCAGGCCATTGTACACAACAGGGCTTCTGAGCGCTCACTGTCTGCTCAGCATAAAGAGGCTGGATCCTGAATCAGGAAAGAAACAGTAAGGACAATTAGTTGTCCTTTTGGGCTGGTCGTTTACCAGGGAATGAGCATTTACTGTCACTGTTTGCTTGTTGTTGTAACTGTGGTAAGTGCCACAGCCCGGTGGTAGTTACACTTCAAACAAAGCCTCTCCTGTTCTTGGTAGGAACATAAATAAGTTTGTTAATGAAAGTGAGTAAGTGTAACATTTGTTGGTGAATGAAGCCTGTTAGATACCTCTTTCCTCCTTGGTTCTCCCTCATGCCAGGCTCCTGTTAACTGTGTAATTCCAGTAGGCATAGCACGTTGTTATTTTGCTTAAAATGTCCCTTCCCTTGTGCAGTGAAAGTTGAATGTGAGAACAGACTTAATAGGTATAGTTACACAGTTTATTTTATCATGTATCACTTTATTGCTGTCTTCTAGAACATTGTTATACTAAATGTTCCAATAATGGGAATTTTATGCTGCTACTTCAAATGAAAGAAATTTGCAAAAACTCAATTTTGGAACTCATTCCTTGATGGGGGGGGCACAACTCACCATGCTGTGACCAAATTAGATTCCTGATATGTTGGCAACTTATCAAACACTGTCATTTCCAGAAAACAGGGTGTGGATTCCAACTGAAATGAAATGCCAGCACTTCCCAGCCACTTTCAATTGGAAATATTGGAGGTTTTTAATATGATTGGTTAAATATTTGTATTTTTTTTTGGTTGGTAACATGATTAAAATTTGGTTTTGTACCTGAATAAAAATGGCTCTCCATGGAATCAGGGAGGACTGTTCAATTGCAGGGAGAGCTTCAAGAGCTTGATTGTTGATTCCTGGAGATGCTGGTTGTACTTACTGTAGCTCCTTTGTTTTGCAGAGATCATGATGCAGCCGCCCTTTTGGATTTCTTTTTAATAATGTGTGACCCTTCACCTTTGATCCCCTGACCTGCATTACCTTGGTAACCATTTCATTTTTTAATTTAATTTCATTTTTTAATTTTGGTGTACAAGCTATAACATTTCATCTCTCCAAGTGCAGCACACTGATTTCCTCAAATAGAAATTCTCCTTTGAGTGATAAAGTTGCAAATGCTGTCTTCATTTTCTGTATTGAAACTCACTTTGGTTTCTAAGAGTAAAGTGTAATCTGTGTTTTCATCCTTTTAAAATTTAAGTTTAAAGAGTGCATTTTCCCATGTAGGGTATTTCCTTTTATGTCCATATTTTGCAAAAACTATGAATTAGCTGATGTTTCCATGTAACTCACGTATACATCCCCAGGCTGCCTGAAGTCTCCCTTCCCATTCCACCCCCCCATACACACTGATGCTCACATCCCTCCACCCACACCTCTCCTCACATCCACCACAGCTCTGCTGCTGACTTCCCCTCAGAAACAGCAGCAGTGTAATCTGGTAGTCTCTTGAAGGCCAGATTTTGTGTTCTCAACTTCTACTGAAAAAGTTTAAATGTTTTTATTTCATTAAAAGGATAGAAGAATTCAGTTATCTCATCAAATTTCACCTCTCCCCATCCTTTATAATCCACTTCTTTTAAACATAAGAGAAAGTAATGGTTTACATTATCCATGATGTTTTTGTCTTTGCTGAAATATGGTCAGCGCTGGTGGACCTTATACCAAGTTAATTTATGTTCTTATTGCTCTTTATTTGGCTCTTAGAGGTTTTTTTTTTTAAGATAATACATTGGTTTTTAAAAAATTTATCTTAAAAACAAAGCAGAACAAAATCCAAAGCATATTTAATTCTTTGAACTGATAAAATACCCCCGACCCCCAAAAATCACATGTAATTTCTTGGTGTGACCCAGTGAAGCACAGATTATTTTTAGTATCTCGTTATTTTATTCTCTAATGTTTAATGCTGATATTTCAACTGCACATAGCTGAAACTTGTAGGTGAACCCTGAAGTAGATTAAGTCCTTTCCAAGCTTTGTTGATATCTATGAAAGTTTATATCGTTCAGTAGAACCATAGAGCAGAAGGAGCTGCTCATTGTTGACCAGAACTCCTGCACTCTCCTGCACTGTTGGAGCTTCCACGCTTGTTTCTGCTGTTACACCTTCATGCTTGCAAAGCTGCTTCAGGCCTGCTGGGTATCTTGTCATAATTGCAGAGCACCAGAGTTGAGAAATAGAAACAGATAAGACTCCTGTGGTTCTGAAGCCCTTGTCATGGCACCTGTCCTGGGGGTTGGGCCTGAACCTTGACTGTTCAGGTGATTTTAAAAACATTATTATCATAATGCCCTGCACAGCTGTGCAGGAGTATTTTCTCCACCGTTTTATGTGTCCTTTGTTTCTTGGGTGCCGTGTCCTTCAGCAGCAGAGGACTGGCACCTGATGGAAGAGTTCACGGACTCTCAGAGTGGCAGGAGATGGTGACTGTCAGCTCCTCTCCTCTCAGCTGCCTGATGGCACCCAAGGGAGTCACAAGCTCCCTGTTGACAGAGTTGGCTCTCTGGAGTCCAGTACTTTATTCATAAATGTAGTAGGAGCCTAGGACACATTAGTAGATACAGAAGTGAAGTGTTTCATTGCCATTGTGATTCGATAATTAGATTTTTCCCTTAAAGCTTTAGTACATTTTTAATATAACCTATTTTTTTTTCCCTCAGAGTGCTAGTGACTTAACACATTGACTAATTATTTTTGACGAACAAAATAGTTTTTGGTTAGAACTTAGGACTTGTACTAAGTTGTAAGCCCCACAGATACTTCTTATGTAATTGTGATTCACTGAGGGTGTCTCGCCTGAGAGTGAGAAAGCCTGGTCTGGACGAGCAGTCAGCACTTGTTAAGGTGTTAGCCCGAGCTAAAGAATTCCAGCAGGCTTCAGAAGACAGGGTTTGGTTTGAAAGCAGTGAGTTGGGAGCTTGGCTCTCAGGTAGGAGTTTGTAAGCCGTGTTCTTGCTGCTTCCATTGTAATGTGTGTGAAATACAGACACTGTATGTCTCCTACTTGCTTTTTTTAGGGTTGTTGGGAGGATAAATGAAACACACTGAAAACTCAGAAGAAAGGTGCTTTTGAAACTGAACCTCATCCTATGGCTGTGCCAAGAGGCAGTGGTAGTGAACCCCGTGGTGAAGGGCCAGGACCATGGCTGTGGAGCCAGGCTGCTGAGGTTCGAACCCCACCTTGGCCTCTTGCAGGTGTTCTGACTGCAGCACATTCCCTAGCTGCCCCATTCCTGAGTTTACTTCCTCTTTAAACTGGGTGACAGTAATAGCACCCACACCCAGGATCATGGTGAGTCCTAGCAGTCATGTGTGTAGAACAGCACTAAGTGCAGTGTGGCCAGGTCTGCATGCACCTCAAGCACAGCAGGCTCTGGCCCTTCCTCCCTCAGTCTTTACCACTGACTTAGACCCTTGGATGCCTAGAGAGGACTGCAGAGCACATGGTAAGTAAGACATCTGCAGCCGATGCAAGCTCCAGGCAGAGCTACACAGCCTCTTAGTCTTACAGCAATAAAGTCCAGATGCCAGGAGCTGCCTCATCTGCTGCTGTTACCTACCTACCTACCTACCTACCTACCTACCTACCTACCTACCTACCCACCCACACACCCACCCACCTTCCCTTTGACTTTGGAGACAAAAGGGAAGAGACTGAAGAAAGTCACCGCTTGCCTGATTAGCTGGACTCACTTCACACTACCCTGGTCAACCTTGCAGCTAGCTTACAGGGAGTCAGGGTGTGGAGCTAACTAGTGTTTCCCTCAGCTGAAGGAGGCTTCAGTGTCCTCTTGAGTAAAGGGGAAATGACCTCACTGTCACCTGTGTGCAAGAATAGATAACAGGTGTTCTTCCCCATGCTTTTACACATTTCCCAGGGGGTGGGGAGGCCTGTGTGAGCACACTGATGCTCAGGTGGGTTTAATGTGCTCTCCAGACTCACACTTCATTATGCTGTCAGGTTTCATGACACTTGCTGCCTCACACAAGACAGTTCTGCTGTTTGGCTGCAGGGATCAGCTGTGTGCATTGTCTTTCCCTCAGTCATCAGATAGACATAACAGTACTAAGTTTAGTAAGACTTGACTGATAACACTGGCCTCTTAGTCCTGGCTGTGGATCTGGAGCCCCTTGTGTAGTTGATTAAAAACTTGCATCCCTGGCCCACTCTGTAGTTCTGATCTTCTAGCTGATGAATCCACAGGGTTCAGAAATCCTGGGAATTTATTTTATAAAAAAGGAAAAGAGCAGCTAAATAACTTGCACACATATAAATGAGTCTTTCTGGAACAGTGGTGCTGTTACTTCTAGAGCAAATTATGCTGTAAACAAAAGTGGGTCTCTCCATGCTGACTGGCCTACAGCCCCAGCCATGGCTCTGCACAGCTGTCCTCAGTGAGAATCGGCCATCACAAAAGCCAGGCTTGTGCTTACACCGTCATCAGGTTCAGGAAGTAGAGGGCTCTCTTTTCATTTCTGTTGCTGTGATTTAAAAACAAACAACTGACAGAAAAGCAACTTAGGGGAGAAAGGGTTTATTTCAGCTCAAAATTCCCAGTTATAGTCCATCACTTTGGGGATGTCATCGCAGAGCTTGAGACAGATCAGAGAACCACAAACTTAGTGCTTAGTGCTCAGCTAGTGTTTTATAGTCAAAGAATCAGGGAGTGGAGCTGCCCACTTTGAGGCTGGATCTTTCGTATCAGTTATGGTAATAAGACAGTCCCTGACGGATATGCCTACAGAACAACCTACAAGGTCCCTTATTGAGACCTTCCTTCCAGGTACTGTTGTATAAACAGAGTGAAGGACCACAAGGGTCTTTCTTGCTTTCTCATTCTGTCACCTTTCTCCTTTCATTTCTTGTACATTTAGTTTTCCTTTCTCTTTTCTTTACAGTTCTGACCACCGGCCCCCACCCCACCTCATCACGGATGTTTACAGTTTGTCTGTCTTCACAGTGTAATATGCTTACAAATCTTCAAGGGGCTTAGCACATAGTAGGTGTTCAGATGACTTTTAAGTTTTGTCTTGTATCTGTTTTGGAGTAGGTGCCACCCTTCATTAGCCTAAACATTGTTAGGCTTCATGGTGGTCTTCTATCCTGATTTTGGTTCATCTTGAGGATTTTTGCCACATGGGCTTCAGTTGTCAGAGAAATGCCAGGCTTAGGTACTAGGATGGGTTGGGCTTGTCTTGGAGAGGCGTCTTGCCTTGGGCCTTTACATGGCTGCTGTGTATCATTTAAAGTGTAAGGTGGGTGATCACCATATTGAACCCCTTGATTTTTGAAGTCTGCTCCGGAGAGGCAAGGGCTTCAGACCTTAACCACCTACCTCCAGCAGTGAGGCGGGGTCGTCAGAGTAATCTTTTTCCCCTCCACAAGAGCAAGTGCTATAAGGTTAGGGTGACGCTGAGGAAGTAGAGGCCTCAGTGTGCAGTCAGGCAGCTCTGTGAGTCTCCAGATCTGTGCAGTTGGCTTGGGTGCCACCTGGTGGCCTTTGAGGTCCTTCTGATGACCTTTGCCCTTGTGGCTTCTGTGGAGACTAAGAAACACAGTGGGGGTGTGGGCAGTACTCTACTATTCCCTATGAAGGTTTGCCCAAGCCAGAGGAGTTGGTGAAGAAGATGGCATCAGAATTGCTGCCATGCAGAGTGCTATGGAAGTTCTAGTACCCAGTCACTGATTCTCCCACAGAGTGAAAGCCGCGGTCCCATGGAAATGGCTCAGCCTTCACTTCCAGTCCTTTTAATCCTTCATCTTTCCAGAGATAGTTCTAAGAGGGCGGGGCGAGGAACAGGTAAAATTCTTGGCCCAGGTCTGTCTCTGGGTCTCTTCCTGCTGGGCTCTGCTTTCCCTCAGGCCTCTGGCACACACTCTTGCAGCACATAGTAGACACTCAGCGAATGCTAACTCTTCATTTCTCATTAGCTCAGGTAATTAAGAGCAGGGGCTGAAAGACTACACGTATCTGTGCAGAGATAGATCTGTAATTAAAGTTTTAATTAAAGAAATACCAGACCAGGCAGATGGTTCCTATCCCCACATCCTGTAAACCTAAGAGCTGTGTCTTCTAGATCTTGCAGACAAAGGCAAGAGCAGCAGCCTCCATAGTGGTACCAAAGGGGAGAGGGAGTCTCAGTAGCCGGCCGTAATCTAATTTTGGTAGCACTCTATGTGATGACACATCTGGGGGTAATCATTGCAGTCTGATACGGAAAGACAATACATCAAAGGTTCGTCCTGACCAAAGCTTTTAAGCCTCAAGTCAAGGGCATTACCGAAGCCCCGCTGGTAGATCACAAGGTGTGTGGTTTTGTGCCGAGTTACAGAAGCTGACAGAGTGTTATTTAGGATCATCAGCTAAAACAGTGGAAAGTACATCAGCAGCACCCTGATCCTCGGTGTCGCCCTTGTCCAGCAATGCAGGATTGAGATGTGACTTGTGCCTGCCCGCCTCGCAGTAGGCCTCTGCTATCTTGGTGACCTTAATGGTCAATCAAGTGCAGAATTTAAAGAAACACCACAACCACAAGAGCTAACAAAGAAGACCTCTGTAGACCTTACCACTCTTCAGGACCTCCCAGTGACTCCAGCCACTTTTTCTCCTCCTATCACCATCAGCAGGAAGCCAGAGCAGTACAGGGAAACAGTCAGGCTGTGCATGGGGCATGGCATCTCTGTCATCATGAACTCCTGGGCCTCTGGCCCCAGGTTTCATTTGCTGGGCCTGGCACGCAGGGTTGGAGGCATTCAGGGCAGGTTGGGGTTCTACAACATCGCCTCGTTTGCTCCGTTCCACATCACCAGTCCTGAAGACACCCTTGTATTTCACAGGGAAGCAGTTCAGAGGTTAGGAGCCAGTTCCTACCTTTGCTGGGCACTGGGTCACTTCCATTTGGCCATTCCTTCCATATGGTTTTTAAAGGCAACCAGTCTTTTCTGGAAAGAGCCTGTGTTATTCCAGGATGGTAGATCTTGAAACTAATTTAACTCTTCAGTACCATCTGTAAACCAAGGCCCAGTTAGCCTGGGAGGAATAGGTGTGTGCAGGTGTGAGACAGGCCAGACCCACGGGACCTGCTGCATCCTTTGAGCAAAATCTTTGTCTCAGGGCTGCTTAGAAATTTATCTACCTCTGCTTAGGCTTGGGAGACTTCAAGGGGAAGGTTGAGAGTTGTTCTATGGTCTTGTTGCTAGTGATTTCAGTAAGCATTGTACATGTGTAAATTTAAACCTGACAGACTGAAATCTTTTTTTTTCTGTCATGTGCTTTGAGGTCTTAACTTTTTTTTTTTTTTGTAACTTTTGACCAAATAGTATGAGATTGTTGCAGGCTTCTCTAGCTTGTGAAATTAAACTCCAGTTGCTCAGAAAGTGGAGCACGTGGCTCTCTTAAAGGAGCAAAGATACCATTTATTCAGGGAGGCACAACATTTACACAACTAACCAGAGTGGTGTGCCTTTTTTTGTTTGTTTGTTTTTTTGAGGGGGTGGATAGTCTGACCCTATATAGTCTAAGCTGGTCTTATCCTTGTATCCATGCACCTGCTCTAGATTACAGGCGTGCATCAAGTACTGAGCCCAATGCCTACTCTGTGGCGTAGATTGGGAGAAAGCCTTCACACCCTTCCTGTAGTTCCAAAGTGACTAATGTCCAGCACTTACTCACTTTTAAACGCTATCGGATGTCTAGGGTGAGGCTGTCCAAGTGCCTGGAATGAGGCAGTAAGACAAGCACAACCTTCCCCTTGAAGACCAATGCTTCTTGGGGAAGGTAGAGCTGCAAACAAAAACCAAATGCTGGTAACTTGAGGGGTTATGTGTGCCAGTTCCAGGCATTGTTAACTCAGGGACTGACCTCCCCACCCCCAGAACACAGGATGGTATATCCTACTTTGTTCCCAGATCCTTAGATGAGGAAACCAGGGTACCACAAAGCTAATTTGCCTCACCTCACTTGAGTAAGCATTGCTTTAGGCATTCCAGCCTAGCCTTTCTGACTCCAGACTTTGTGTTAATGAAGCTGCCTGACCAGTTTATTTCTAATAATTAGTGGTAACAGGTTGATGCAGTGAGGTGAGCTTTGTCAGGTGAATACTCTTTGAGGTGTGACTTGCCTTTGGTGATGTGAGGGATGTGACACAGTGGCCATCCATATAACTGGAGTGGTGTGTGCAGAGCTGGCAATAAGAGAGAGAGAGAGAGAGAGAGAGAGAGAGAGACAGAGAGGCTGATGATGCTGTTCGGGGATGTGTGCAGAGCTGGCAATAAGAGAGAGAGAGAGAGAGAGAGACAGAGAGGCTGATGATGCTGTTCGGGGCAGGGGGTGCACAGGACAGAGCAGGTATCAGAAGTAGCATCCTGGGGGGGTTGTAGGTCACAGTAAAGCCCCCCCCTTTTTTGGGGGGGGATCCAGGGTCTCACCTTCTTCTGTAGTCTGGCCTGCAACTTAATGTACAGTTCCAGGCTGGTCACCAATGCTCTTTTCTTTTGCCTCACTTTCCTGAGTGCTTGCTGGGATTACAGGTATTGCCGTTTTAACCATACCTGACTAAGACGTTTTAATTTTTCTACATGAGGGGAAGCCATCCAAGAAATTTATTTTATTTATTTATTTATATTTTTTTGGAAGGATAAAAACAGGAAAAAGGACTCTTTAAGGTCTGGGGAGATGGCTCAGTGGGTGAAATACTTGCTGTGTAAACAAGAGGGCCCGAATCCAGAGTCTCTGTAACTCCAGTGCCAGGGAAGCGGTAGACAGGGCGGATCCCTAGAGCACGTGGGCTAGGCGATGTAGCTGGAAAACTGAGCTCCCGGTTTAGTGAGAGATCCTGTTTCAAAAAAGAGGGTGGTGAGCAACAAAGCTGACACCTCTGGCCTCCACCTGCACATGCAGCCCATCTTTTTTGCTGTCTCTCTCTCTCCAGAGTCTAGAGCAGGGTCTACATACAGTATCCTACTACTCATTTTGGTGTAGCCAGCAAGCTTGAGATGCTGTTTACATTTTGTAATAGAGGGTGAAAACCAGGAGTGATAATCTTCCACATCACAATTCAGATTTTAACATCTGGTTGTAGTTCTGTTGGAAGAGAACTCAATTAGTTTATCCATTCATTTCAGCCACACAGTGAGTAGCAGAGCAACTCTTACTTGTGAAGGACTGTCCAGGCTGTCTTTGAGTTGTGTAGCCCAGCCCAGCAGACCACGTAGTGGCCTCGGGCCCTTTTTAGAAAGCACTGGTTTAAGGAAACTGGGTAGAAGCAGGCAGCCCAGTAAGGGAAGAGCTGAAAGTGGCTCAGTCAGATGTAGTCAGGAGTAATTGGGGGGTGGGTGCTTTTCAGCAAGACTTGATAGATGGGATCCTCATGAGGCTGATGTCAGTGCTGGGCACAGAGAAACTGGGAGGATGCAGTTTTCTGAACTGGAAAGACGGTGGGAATGGCAGCTTAGGAGGGGAGGAAGGAGAGCACCTGAGTTGTGTTTCTGGACACATAACCCTTTAAGATGTCTGCTGTAGACGTTGGATACACAGTCGTGTGTCAGTCTAACTCAGAGGAGAGGCCTAGGCTAGCACTAGACATTGGAGCAGTGTTAGCATTTTAATACTGCGCAGCAGTGATGAGACTACAGGAAGGAAGCATGGGGTGAAGAGGTCTGAGCGTGGAGGGAGAGTGAAAAGCCAAACTGAGAAGGCACACCAGGGACAGGCCTTAGAAACAGTGGGTCACCGGTCAGATTCTGCTAAGCATCAAGCAGGACATACCTGGGGAGTCACTGGAGGCAGTGGGTATTAGTGGCTCGTTAAGAGCTGGAGGGAAACCCCTGTACTAGCAGCTTCAGATCAAAGTAAGAGAGTAGAAAGTTAGAGTCCTGTGTTCAGGATCTAAGTGCAGGCCAGGCCAGGCGAGGACTTGAATTAACCTGAGATTAGGCTGTTGTTGGTGAGCTGGGTGAAGGAGCTGGATGTTGTACACATGGTGATGGACTTGTGAGGTACCCGGCAGAGAGCTGAAGAGGCTCAAGGATTAAGAAATAGGAGCCAGGAATTGCTGGAGTTAAGTGGTTCTCAGAGTAGAAGTGTGGAGGCTCTGGAGGGGTGAGTGGTGAGTGTATAGTCACACGAAGACCTGGGGCAGACTGTCTGCCAGCAGTGGCAGGGGAGCCGGTTTCAAAGGTAGAATGAAGTGAGCCTCAATAGCTTGCACTCTCTTTCACCCAGTATATTGTGACATTTGTGAACATGTACAAGAAAGGTTGTCAGGACACAGTGCTGTTTGGGTGCAGTTTTTAAGTTGGTGTGTATTGTGTACTTCAGGCACACCTCACTCCAGTAAGGGCACAGGTGCCCAGGAGTCTCATGGCTGCCACACTGGTCAGTGAAACTCAGCAGATGACCTTGGAAGTGCAGTCCAATTTCAAGAGACCGAGAAGCCTGGGTTCATGAAAAGCTGGCTGGGCGGGCCTGAAGCCACTTAGCTTCCTGTGGGTAGTTGTGAGGAGAGAGAGGAGACCTAGGTGTTAAGTTGCCATGGGCTGAGTCTGAGCATGTGTGGATCTGAGGGCTGCTCTCCTTCACTGAAGTCCCAGGGTCAGGGCAGGGTCCTCTGCAATTCCAGTTACACAGGCCGTCATCTCTGTGGCTCTTCCTCACATGCAGCTTTCATTCAGGCAGGGAGTAGCTCATAAAGGTGTTGCCCCGGGACTGTTTCAGACAGCCCTTGTCTTTATTTCCATGTATCTTTAGATGCTGTTCTTTATTTTGGCGTAATCCTCAAATCCTTCAAACTCTGTTCGTAATACTTAGCTCAACAATCTTGAAGGTGTTTGAATCCCACAGAAGCCGACTTTTAGCAGCTTCGGGGCATTTCTGTGTGGTACAGGCGTCAGTGTGCACACTCTGCTGTGCTCTCTGGTCCTCTCGACAAAGCCCAGGTCAGCATTTTGCCTTGCAGCTTAGCCACTGTATAGTTTATACTGCACATGCACAAGTGAGCGTATCTCTATCTGTACGTTGGCTTTGACCACATTGAGTCTTTGAAGATTAATGAAAATCAATTCAATCTGGAAACTTTTTTAGCCTTAAAGACTGGGAAAAGGTATGATAGTTTTCAGGAATAGAGAGGAATGATGGCTTGTTCTGCTGTTCCCTCTTACCATGCAGACTATTAATGCAAACTTAATCTGAGCCTCAAGAGAAAGCTGGGTGGTGCTCCAACTCCACCCCCTTATCAAGTCTAAGTTTAGGGTCCCTTTGGTATTTTTCTCTAGAATATTAGGATTAACCAGGAATTCCTATCAAGACCATCTGAGCACAGGTATTCAGGAAGAGCCTGTTTTGAGCCCTGTGTGTTGTGTGATTTTTTTTTTTTTTTTAATTGTAACTGGTATCAATAGAGAATGAGGACTCCGACTGGTCTGTAGCCTGTCACAGCCCAGGGTGTTGGTCGAGAACTGCCCCACCCCCATGCGTTCTTGCAGTTAAAAGGGGAAAAGAAAAAAAGCTCAAGAAACATGTTTTAGAAACAATGAAACTCACTCCTACATAAGCCCTCCCAGGCTCTCTTTACCCTAATGAGAGCATCTGAGGAAAAGGGCATTGGTACCAAGAGCCAGCTGGAAATTAAAATATCAGGTGAACATTAATGTCTGGCTTCCCTTCGGCTTGTCCAGGGGTTTCTTCACCGAATGGTGTTTCACTTACAGACTGCCTCATAGCTTCATGCATAAATCTTAAAGAGAAGTGTATTTCAGTGGGTCCCAGCAAGAGAAGGGCTGTCTGTTACCTCAGTTGCAGATCACAGCACAGGCCGGGGAAGAGAACCAGAGGCTTCAGTTTTGAAGGCAGTTTTGGCACAATTACTTAACTGGTGTGCATACAGTTGTAGTCTCATTGAAAGTGAAGGTCAGGTCAGTTTGTCCAGACTAGCAAAGTGAGTGAGTGATCCTTGCCCACTGTTTTTAATTTAGATCTGAGTTACTAGAGTTCTTAAAAAAGAAGAAGAAGAAGAAGAAGAAGAAGAAGAAGAAGAAGAAGAAGAAGAAGAAGAAGAAGAAGAAGAAGGAAAGAAAAGAAACCAAAGAAATTCAAGATATAACATTTAAACTTGTGATTTATTTATTTTGAAAATTTGTTGCTGAACCTTAAAGGCTTGACTAAGATAGCAAGCATTGCCATACCCAAAGCAGTGTTTGGTCTTCCTTAGGCAGGTGCCTGCCCAGTCCTTGTCTTCATCAGAGTTCACACACACACCTAAAAACCAAACCCACAGCCCTGGCCCATGACATTGTCCCCCGCCTAGCTACGCCTTGCTTGCCTCCTGGCCCCTCTCCACACCCTCTGACACCTCTGTTCTGCCCTCTGTTCTTTGTACCAGCTTAGCCCACCTCCCCTGAGATTCTAGAGGCCAGCTGAGATTCCCTTCTCACAAACCCTTCCTTCTCTTGTGCTTTATAGTCCAGTTGACTCCAGTTCACTTTCTCACAGGTGTGCCACCCCTGTGTCCACGTGAGGGCCCTTGGCACAGTGTATTGTCACCATCTCTTTCACTCAGTACTTTAGGAGCTCTCTGAGGGTAGTGCTAGGCCTCCTTATTTCTGTTTCCCTAGAGCCCAGTCTAGCACTAGAGTGCGGTGGTGAGTGAATGAATCAGGGTGGGTTGTGGGAGAAGTGATGGTGGGGTAAGGTACACTCAGATTAAAAGGGTAAACTTAATTAACTGTGTGTAGAAGAGAAGAATAAATGCTGTTTTTGTTTATGCAGGTCTTAAAATTTTGGTAGCAGAAAGCAAAGGTGCAGAGAGCAATGGAAACAAGTCAGAAGCTGCTGTCTGATTCCAGAGATGTCCACAGTTTATCACATGTGATTTATGTTGAAACCTTCAACTTATCCTGATACCTCAAGTTGCTAATTTAGTTGAATAACACCCGGGGAAATAGGTCATGAGGACTTTGACCTACAGAAGGCCACAGGTCCTCTATACAATGAAACCTATAGCTGCCCTACTCTAGGCCTATGAAGCACAGCATAGCCTGGTGCTGTGGGCCTTCGTGCCACCTGAGGGCCGGCAGGCAGCCAGGCAGGCGCCTTCCCCTCCTTGTGCATCCGCTCCCCTGTAAGGCTTGTAAGCCTAGTGGTCCTGCTGCCCCTCATCATACCCATTGCAGATCCTGAGTGAGGTAGGTAGAGACTTCTGAGGCTTCCCTTCTGCAGCTTTGTGCTTTGGGGTAGTTTCAGGGCCACACGAGGGTAGCTCGTTAAGATCTTAACATTGATTGGGGAGTGTCCGTGACTTAGAGCCCTCAGCATCCCTTTGAAGTACTCTATTTTTCTAACTTGGGAAACTGGTCTGTGGTGACCAGTTGGAAGTGCTGGGAGTTGAGTCAGCCTTCTCAGCGCTGTGCATCACAGACTTACTCTAGTAAGACAGCCTCCAAGTATCGTCTGTTCTATCAATATATACTTAGACACATTAATCCGAATTAGAGAGCTGATTGTACCTAATGGCTCCCCTGGGATGCCATGTCAGGAAAAACAAAAACAAAAATTCAAGGATATGCTGGATATGCATAGTAAGTAAATATATATGTATATATATATATATAATATATATATCTTGTAAAATTAGTGTTAATTGAGCTTGGACCTTGATCATCATGAGCTTTCAATTTTTAATTTGATTCTTTAAAACAATTCTGTCTGATTCTTTAAAACAGTTCTTTCTCTTAAAGATACACCTAATAAAAAGTTATGCTGTTACATTGCCAGAAAGACCTTTATACAAGACCCGATTTTGAATTATCTTAGGGAATTAGGTCATGTGTGGGGTAGACACACATGTGCAAATACACACTCATACGTGTGTTTATTAAAGTATACTTTAGCTGTCTTTTATTTCCATGTTCTTCTCTCTCTGCCTCTGGAAGTGGGGCGTACTTTCTTCAGTTAAAGACAGAAATAGAAGCGACAGTCTTGACCCATTTTACACCTGTTTATTTCAGGCTCTCACCACACACTTGTTCATGGGCGCAGCAAGAAGAGGGACCCACAGAGATGGAGCCGTGAGGGCTGACACATTGGGAGGAAGCTGGCAGAGCGCATAGGGAGAGCTTCCCATCCTGCCAGCTCCATATCTGCTTCAAGACAGTTCTGTTAGTGAGTTCATTGTACTTTAAACCCCAAGTTTATATGAGCTGGATGTCACTAAAAATGAAATAGATTCAAATGACCTACTCTTGCTTCATCCAGAGTAGCTGTGAAGGAGTGCAGCAGCCACTTATCTCTGGGGAGTAGCCTGCACCATGTGTTCCCTGGTTCCAGTATCCCCTTTGCCCCCAGCAACTTCCCCTTTTTTAAATTAACATTCACCAAGCAATGACCTGTTTATGTGTTGATTACTGCCTCCCAAAAGAATGGAAGCTCCATGAGAGCAGGGCCTGTGTGTTGTCTCCTCTGTCTCCAGCACATAGGACAGCCCTTGGCATATCAATAAATGCTGTTCAGTGAACTAGTGGGTCACTGGTGTTTCATCCTTTCTCAGTCTTCTTTGACTTGCTGTTTATGTTCTTTACATATTCATATGTGCATCTTTCAAAATGATAACATGAATAGGTCTTACAGCTAGTTCAGGGAGAACTAGCTTTACGTATTTATGTAAACCTTTCAGGATGATAACATAAACAGGAAGTTTTGTTTTTCAGCTAGTTCAAGAAGAGAGAGTATCCTCGATGGTGGGATTATGAATTGCTGAGCCACTGTGTTGTGGTGTCCATGCTGCCCTCCTGAGTAGCAGCAGTCAGAGAAGATGTGAGTCATTTTCCTGGCATGTTGCAGCATCACCACCTCTGAGGGGAGTCCAGGAAGAGAGTCAAGAAACAGACACAGGTAGAAATCAGGCAGATACCTTGTATAGTCAGTCTCCTTAGTATCTAGTGACCCAGTATGTGTCTAGAGTGAGCAGTCATTGACGAGGACACATGGGTTGGGTGGAGGTGACATGAGGCTCAGAACATTTTGGCCATCAGTGTACCACACAAGCTTAGTTGCTTTATGAGAGTTTAGGACTTCGTGGTCTTAGTCTGTGCACGCTCATACTCACATGCCTCCCAGAGCACAGTTGTTGAGCGTGCATGACCATGTGTAGAGGGTAACAGCAGAGGCCCTGACCCAGAAGACTTTGCTGCCCATCTTTATTTACCCTTTGTGTGTTGGCAGAGGTCACAACACCAGTATCCCTGCAAGCCTTGCGTCTTTGTTTTTGAACAAAGACCCAAGGAAACAGCCCCCTGTGATGTAAGCCGTTGTCTCAAGGTGAGTTTGGCTATAGCATTGGCTTGGGATGAATAGTCTGCAGAAATAAAAATTCTCCAGGTGTAGCATGTTTTATATGTCAGGTTCTGTTCTGTTTCATTGTAAACTTTACTATTACACAAAGAAGGAGTCAACTAAAATCATGACAAAGAAGCAATTAAACCTGAGTTTTATTTTACTTTGGAAGTGTCCAGTATCTCCACTCACACCAGACTCGGCTCTTTTTAAGTAAAGCAAAGGCCAGACCTTTCTGTGCCACACAGCAAACCAAGAAACTAAAGCCTTTGGTAGTATGATGCTGTTTGTACTAGACAAGCCACTGAATTATTTTGAATGTAACCTTTTCCTCCCATGGAAGTGTAAGACGTGCGAATTTTGAGGCAAGATTGTAATTGCAGAAAGTGGGTAATGAGGTAGAGCTCACAGACCCCTACTTAGAATTGTGTGGGTGCATAAATCCTGGTAGAGGGTGCAAATGTAAGGAAAATCCTTGGTAGCAGTCAAGAAATGCAAGGTTGAACTTTTCACTAAAACAGAATTTTAGAACCTCTTGGAGTAAGTTGTATTTTAAATATGCTAATTTCCTTAGAACAGCAAACTAGGATGTAGTGAACACAACTACATGCTCTTAATTCTTGAAGGGTTGAAGTACAAATGAAGTCACGCTTTAATTCCTGCTTAATAAAGTGCATTGTAATTTGTTTCGGCCAACATCTCCTTTCTAGTTCATCAGAAAATGGGTTCTCAAGTTAAGAATCCGACTCGACTCTCTGGGTTGGTGCTCCTGTTGTGTTTGCATGCATGGAAGAAACTTCGAGCAGTTGACAAGGTTACAGCTCTCATGGGCCAAACACGGAGGAGCTGCTCTTCATGCATTTTGAAATGTCCTTGATTCGTCAGTCTGAAGATCGGATTGACTTGTTTTCATGTACTACTGCTGGTGGTGTGTGTGTGTGTGTGTGTGTGTGTGTGTGTGTGTGTGTGCGCGCGCGTGCGTGCGTGCGTGTGTGTACACATACCTTTAAGTTTTGTGGGGTTCAGTGAAATTTATGAATTGCTCAAAGTTGCTGTTGAAATTGCATACTTAGCACTTCATCCATTCAAAATCTAGCTCTCATTCCATGTTCCTGCAGTTCCATGGGTTAGTGCCCTCTGCTGGTATACAGAGGACATCAGGCTGAGAGGGACTGTGACCCAAGAGCCTTGGGCCAGCCCTGTAAAGATGCAGCACCTTAGAGTTCGTTGTTTAGTCCTCTTCAGCTTCTGATTTTGAAAGATCCCTGGGTGCTGATTTATGCTACTTGAATTGTGTCTTTTTCTCCTTGTGTTTGGTGCCTGCCAGTGTCCTACTCCACTAAGCCTGACCATGGAGTTAACTTAGCAGTGGCCTCACTCAAGTTGAGAGTGACACTCTGGACAAGGGATGGTTCAGATGGGCTTATTGTAAGAAAGAATGTTACGGCATTCACATTTCCCCAAATGCCTGTTCAGAAGGGGCATTGCTGTCAGTTCCCGGATTAAGGAAAGGCTTCCCTGCTAACTTGGGGTGGTTGACAGGCCTGCTTGGCCTTAGTGGGTTGGTCTCGATGGCCTTATCTGTCCCTCTGATATTTTTTGGAGCCAGCTTTTCCACTGAGGTCCCTGGCCAGATTCTATTACTCTGGATTTCACTATCAGGCAGAGCAGACACCAAGTCCCTCTCCAGCTCTGCGTGGCCATAAGAACTGGGGAAGTGGCTTTGCCCTGTGTGGATCTCTTGTCAGTGAGACAGGAGGATTGTTAGCTTGTGTCTCAAACCCAGAAGAGAACAGCTTGGAGGATGAAGCTAAGAATGAACTCAAGGGCCAAACGGATGAACTTTGCTGGTTTGCTGCTAAAGGCGTGTTTCCTTCACTGAGCAGCAAGCCCCACCTTTGGTACTCAAAAGACAATTAAAAAAAACAAAAAACAAAAAAATAACCCTTTATTTTGGGTTAACTTTGTATTTAACAACAAAGTTCCAAAGATGGGAACTGGTAAGCCCTTTGGCACTGTTCATTTTCCTGAATGTGTTCCCTTGATAATCTCTTCATCTGGGTCAAATTTGGTTCACTTGTCCACTTGGCACTTTTGCTAAAGACTGAAATATTTGCCTCTAGTCCCTGAGTTCCATTGTAGACGTGGCCCTTGTCCTCATACCACCTTCAGATTGGACCTCATTCCATGGTTCTGCCTGTTTGATTGTAGAAACACTTTCTGTGATTTTCTGGCATCTTAATGCCTAGGTATTTCCCCTATTTGAACAGTTAACTGATGGGCACAAACCTAAGGAGAGACAGGGTGATCCGTGGCATCCGTGTAACAGCTCTGCATTTTCAAAGTCTCAGAGCTGTTTCACATACACTTAAATTGAAGGCAGTGTGTGTTTGTTTTCAAGATGAGTAATCCCCAAATGTTTCTTTAGGAAAGTTAAATCAGTTCAAACCCTTTCCTTTTAACATCTTTTGTTGTTGTTTTGTTTTGTTTTGTTTTGTTTTTTTGAGACAGGGTTTTTCTGTTTTTATTGCTTTGGAGGCTGTCCTAGAACTCACTCTGATCTGGAACTCATAGAGATCCTCCTGCCTCTGCCTCCTGAGTGCTGGGATTAAAGGCATGGACCACCAATGCCTGGCGCTTAACAAACATCTTAATCCACAGTCTGAGCTAGTTGTATTACATATATGGAAATGTATGGAAACTCCTTGCAGTTCACATACTTTGGTTTAAGAAAGTGACATGCCACGTCACTTGGCTTCTTCGTGCTGAGGGATGACCAGGTAGAGCTTTGTCTCTCTCTCTTTTTTTCATGAACAAGATGAAGTAAAGTCAACAGTTGGCCTGGTTGAGGGCCACAGTGAGGGAGTAGACCCTGGACCCAATCACCTGCAAGCAGCTCAGCATCTCCAGCCCACGGCTCGTGCAGCCTCTGCCCTTTGTAAAGGCTGTTGTCCCCTTTACGTTGATGAGACTCCTGGTGACCTTAGGCTGGTTATACATAGTAATTCTTCGATGCCTATTAGGCAGTTTCCTTACTCTGTCTTCATTAGCTGTTAAGGAGTTGACATTGTTAGGATTGAATTAGCAAAACTCCACCACCTTGTGTCTTCAGAAGAAACCAGGGGTCAGCCAGCATGGGCTTATTTGTGCTTTGGGCAGTGATGGCTGTGTTGACCCCATTAGCACCATGACGGGCTCTGGGGTAACAATTGCTTTTATGAGGCTGTAGTTATTCCAGTCTCTGGGGTTGCATGAGTTAAACCTCAGTAGAGACATGCCAACATATAGTTTTTCTTTTACAAGTGCCACTGAGCTATTTGAAAGGAACTTTTTAAGGGCCAGCCCTGGCGAAGCTAGTAGAACATCTTACAGAAACACCAGGATGCAGAGACGGCAGAGCTTCTCCAGAGAGAGTGTTTGCATGTGTGGCAGAGGCAGCCATGCTTTAGGTAAATTATAATACCCTACCCATTTCTGTCCTGTGAAAACTAAATATTGTTGTCACATGTCTTGCTCTTCTTTTTGATGGGTGTCCATTTCTAAACATTGATCAGAAGAGTACCTTGTATTGGTGGTTGTGGTAACAGGAACTAGGCTGTCAAGTCTGAATTCAGCACTCTGGTGAGTTTGGCAGGTGGAGTCCCTTGCTTTTGTGTTGTGCTCTTTTGAGACGTTGCTCCAGCTAGTCTACAGTTGCTGTGTAACTGAGGACAGTTTAATTCCTGATCCTCCAACATCACTTTCTGAGTGTCATCATCCCTGGCCCTGTTTTTCTGCTTGCCTGCTAATTTTGAGGTACATACCTCTGACTAGCTTGGAATTTAACCTGTAGACGAGGCCTCGAACTCAGCTATCCACCTGCCTCTGCTTCCAGAGTGCTGGGATTAAAGGTGCATACCCCAGAAGACCTGCTTTTCCCTTTAGTCATTAGCAAAGGTGGCCCTACAAAGACAAAAGCATGTGTACTGAGATGCGTTTTGATCCTTTGAAAGCCTAACAGCCTCATTAAAGCTGAAAGAGTGTCTGGAGTGTTGTCTTTTGTAGTCTGGCACCCGTGAAGTTCTGGAGAGCTGTCCTTAACAATTTCTGGTGTCTGTTGTGCAGATCTTGGTGGTGGGTTTGCTTGCCCTCCTCAGCTGTAGTGCTTTTAGGAAGTTACAGTACGTGGGGCAGTCTGGTTAG